ATAATTACAGCAGACAGACACCAATTATGTTAAACTTACATTCTGTTAGCAGAACCTACTGAAATTCACGGAAACCTGTAAGAGCTCTCGAATTTAAAGCAAATTATATAATTTGTATCAAATTATATGTCAAGGTCTGCTTGATTTCTTTCATCAATTTATAACCATATTTTATATTCACACTTGTTTTATCTTCTACGTTTTGCTTTTGCCAGCATTTTGCTAAATTATATTTATTAAAATATCTGTAGCCTGATTAAATTCGTAATAGACATTTTATAAAATCTATCTTCGGCAGATTTACATTTAGTTGTTTTGAATATATATTTAATATATTTGATCTCATTTCTTACATTTATCATATTATAGTAAATAAATACTTTATTACAATTAAACTGTTCCTATCATTTATATTATTGTATTTGTACGAGGAAACTTGTTGATTATTTTATCTTTCTTTATCGATAAAATACTCGTGGAAAATTAACGTTGAATAAGCTAAAGCTAAAAGCAACAGAAGTAGATTTAGAAATTCTTGTTTATCTATCTATAAAAGAGTAAACACGCATATTGTATATGAAGTCACAATGATAAATTCAGATAAGATCAGAATGAAAAAACAATTTAATTTGTTTTCCATATTTTAATTGATTATAATGATTTACTGCTTAAATATATACAAATAATTTACGCCAAAATTTAGAAAAGTTTTTAAAATTTTGTATAGGTCGAAATATTCTTTCGACTGCAGAATTATTTTAATAATTCCATAGATTTGCAAAATTTAACTTTTTTGTATACGTTCTTGGAAACAATAAAAGTCGTTTCTACGTAATTTTGTGCGCAGAATCCAAAACTGGCTACAAAATGACTCTATCATTTCAGGTTTTCAACATAAATGCATTAAAATACCCCCAAAAAACAGCTATTTTGTGTTATATTCATATTATTCAGACTCTGCGCACAAATTACGCAAGAAGAACAACTTGTGTTTCCCAGAACGCAGGATCATGCATCTTGTCTTAGCCAATTTAGATTTAATTTAATTCTTTTAGTGAAAATTATAAGTTATAAGAAAATTCCACAAAAGAATATGCTTGAATTAAATTCATAAAAGCCAGATAAGATAAGAATAAAAATAGAATAAGAACAAAACGTATTGTATTTAATTTCAGATAGAATTTACTTTATACACACTTACCACACACACAAGAATTTTAATTTAAATCTTACAATTATTAGCAAAGATCTTACAATGTTAACAAAGATATTTGATATAAAAAACAGCTGCAATAAATAAGTAATTAATTTCTTATTTTAACTAAAGAAAGTAACTTCAAATCAATAGACTCGAATAAATCTGTTATTAAAAGCCAATTTTTATGGTTTTAAGATGTCGATAATGGTATTAAAGGAAACGTTAATCATGTATAACTGTTATAATGAAATATACCGCGCCGAAGATTTCACGGAATGCCATTTCATTTTAGACATCGTGTTGTTTCGCATATTTATTTTTTTGCTTTTATTTATCACATTCACTTTGTGATTTCCATAAACTTATATGATCTTATGGAGAATATCCTATAACAGGATCTCGCAAATTAATATTCGTAAAGTTCATTCATCTCTAAATGAAGATACAGTGATTAAAACAATTTTTTTTCACAGCTTACCAAACATCCTGTTACTGGCCTTGATGCAAAGGTGAGCAGTAGTTATATATACTATATGTATACATATGTATAGTTGCCTACCTTTCCTATCTTAAAATCAAATTTTTGTAAAATTTTTAAGTATGCATGCAAAACGATAGTTTGTAAAAAATCGTAGTTGTAAAAAATCGAAGAAATATGCATTTTTGATTTTATAATTTTTTTTATTACTGAAATCAAGAAAGAAAATTTAGTATTATATAAAATATTTGTTTTTTTTATTTACAATAAATAAAGGAAGATCTTTTCTCATATATTCAAGTAGAAATTATGCAATTATAGTAATCTTTGTATTAATTTTTGACAATCTATTTTTAGAAAGACACACATGCGATATGCCTTAAATTTTAAAGCGATTAACTAACTCAACTAGATAATATTCAAAATAATTAGCAAGAACAATATCCAAGTATTTTCTTGATTTAAAATATAACTAAGTGTCCTAAATATATAAATAGTTTGTTACGCAACATTCATAATCGATTTTTAAACCAGTTTTAAACCAGTTTTAATTAAGAAAGAAAATATTAACATCAAATATGCTAGGTCTGATTTATCTATAAAAGAGTAAATGCGCATGTGTATGAAGACAACAATGATAAATTCTGATAAGATCAGAATTAAAAGGTTTCTTAATTGCAGAGGTGCATTTATTTGTGTGTAAAGGCAGATAAATATGTAAAACTAATACAGAAATTTTTAAAAATTAAATTACTGTAATCTAATACTTTTTCATGATTAAACTTATGTTTGGAAACAGAAGATAAATTGACAAATGTATGCTCATTAAAGAAGGATCTTATTGTTATGTCATTTTTATATTCAGCTAAAAAAAATTTTCAAATATGAAAATGAAAGAATAATAGATCATTTTGTAATATTTATGAAATTATTTCAATTGTGTTTTTTGTTCTAATTTTAGAAGGGACAAACAAATAAAAGATATAGATAATCGCGAAAATGTGGTTTAAAACTTTTTTAAGAAAAGAAGGAATAAAAAGAATTTTGCGATTTTTAAATTTTCTTTAATTGTAAGATAGAAAAAATTTTCGCTGCGAGAGCCTAATGCTTAGCAATTCGCTGAGACAAGTCGAGGACAATTTCGAAATTGAGATTTGATTCCTTTTCTTTCCTTTACCCCCCTAATTGATGTAAACGAGAAAAATATATCAATCCGAAAACCGGTTCCCGATTCAGCCAACTTTGTTTGCCGACTTGTCTTAGCGAATTACTAAGCATTATAATAGGCTTTCGCAGCGAATATTCTTTTATCTTGTTATTATAATATGATAAGAGCCGTATATAATATTATTTGTTTCTTAATTGTGTCGAATATATAATTATAAGCACAAATTTTTTAAAACAAAGCTGTCAGAAAGAGATATACATATATATATATATAAAGATTAAAAAGTATTATTTTAACAAATAGATACCGCGAATCTTATGAATCGTTTATATAGAGTTAATTAATGATTTGCGTTGATGATTATGATATGACCAAACTAATTATAAAAAATATTCAAGTTTATGATCTCCTCGATTTCTTATAGAAATTTATCACTAAACCATTCAAAAAATATATCAATGAAATACAATATCGATGCATCAATAAACGTTCCATATATATATATATATATATATATATATACGTTTTTTTTTATTATTATATCTATTTTCTATCATATATCTTATCATTATATCATATATATATAAATTCCATTTCGAAAATATACACTTCGCGAGCAAAATATGTATATTATATATATTCTTATACAAATTATTGAATCGATTGTACAAGTTGGACGTTGAACGAAATGACATTCAATATAATCTCTCGACAGAGGGAATGATTTTAAATTATACTTTGAACTTTAATAATTGTTTTTTGAAAATGAATGCGTACCTACCGGAGCACGTCGCGTTGCCGCCTGTCTCTTCAAGTGTCACCGTGCAAATGAGTAGATAATGGTTAAGCCGCGCGTAAACGATGTACATATATGTATGACTATATATTGAATGTCGTCTTTATATTTAGTCTCACCGTAGAAGGTATAGTAAAAAAATGTATGCCGAATATTTTGTTTCTTTTATTTCGAATTAATTTTTATGAAAAACTACATATTATTTGTACTTTGTGCACTTCTGTTGAAAACACTTGCACGCTTTTTAGTCGATGGCTGAACTAGGTGTTTTCATATTTCATGGTTTAAGGTTTAAGGTTAAGGAAGTGCTTTACTAAGCGGAGAAAAATAAATACTCGTCGAAACGTCAAAACAACGATTTGTGAGAAGCGATTGTGAAACGATTGTTATGAATTTTTGCATAAAAAAAGACAGTCATGACAATTCATAACTTGTATATCTTTTCGAAACTGGAATGTTTTGTACTATGCTGAGTGGAACAGGTTAAATAAATCGGGGATAACGAAAGAAGAGGTAATCAAGAATGCAAATAATTATATCTAGTTGTAAAATTAATTTTTTACTACATTATAGACATATTTGGTGATAATAATTTATTATGACGACTATTCATTATTTTTTTTAGAAGTCATAAATTTTGAAGCATTTTCTAAACAATAATATAAAGAGGTACATAATGTAAAAGATAATGTATTTACTTATAAGTATCAATTATGAGATATTATTAAATATTGCAAAATTTAATAATGCGGTAATTCTATCAATAATTATGAAAGATATATTTACAAAATTTAGGAAGCCAAGTTGATGTATGGAATGTTGTGTTTATACTAAAATCGTTTGTGAGTAAAATCTCACCGTTGGATCCCAAGGAAGGATTTTTGTATTATCAAACAAGCAAATATACTCTTCATTATTTTGAAACACCATCAGGTCTTAAATTTGTTTTAAATACTGATAATGCCAGTCAGAATGTGAGAGAATTATTGCAACAATTGTACAGAGAAGTAAGATTTTATACTTATGTTTGTCTTTAATGGAAATATAGCAATATATTTATATATATGTATAATTGTATATTTTTCATTTTAGGTATATTTGGAATATGTAGTAAAAAATCCACTCTGCCAATTAAATGAACCTATACAAAGTGAAATTGTTTTAAAATACAAGTAGATGAATTATTTAAAAATCTCCTTATTTTTAAGATCGATATAATAAAAATATAAAGCCTTTATATGCAAAAAACGATTTTTAAAAATAAATATCAAATATAATGTTTGTACATATAATAAAAAATTAAATTTTTTTACATTGTCTTAAAAATATATATGATGCTTTAATATTAAGTTAAGAACAATATCTGAATCTTTTATTTATAAGAAAGAAAATTTATTTTCTCTTTATTTTTAATATCTTTGTAGTAGTTTTATTTTGCCTTTGGAGAATTATATACAATTGTTACAATATTTTAAATATATAAGAACAATATATATTTAAAAAGTATTTTAGTATTTTAAATATTAGTGATAGGGCAAATACAGGCAAATAAAATTATATATCTTATAAATTTGTATATGCCAGTATTCTAAATAACTAAATTATAATTCAATAACATTTTTGTTTTTGTGGCAATAAAAATCGTATAATAAACATTTTAGCATCATACATATACTTAAGTGCCATTCATGCTGAATTCCTAAATAATAAAATTAAAACTAAAATTTTTTTGATGAATTTTGTACATACTTTATTTTAAGAAAAAAGAACAAGATTACTTTTATAGTAATAAAAATATATAGAATATTAGAATATATAGTTAAGCAAGATTATAAGCGTAGTTAAGAGAGAAAGAAGAAATTATCATGTATATTATAAAACAATAATTATATATGTATAATATATGCATATATTATAGGTATATAATATACATATATTTGCAAAAAAAAAGAAGAGAAATTTATTAAAAATTACAATTATCTTTCTTTGCGTGATCTAATTTTGAGTCATGATACATTGTATACATTTATAAAATTTTATAAAATTTTCATAAAGCATACAAAAAGTCTGACTAGAAATTTAATATTCATACTTGTGTAATTAATTTTATTTTTTTGGAATTTCTTCAAATTACGATATTTGTATAAGTTTGTAAAGATATTCTAAATCATAACTTTTGGAAAAACAAGAATTTAATTTATATAATTTTTTTAAAATCAGTATGCTGCGATTAAATGTAATATTGTATATTACAAATTAATATATTTTACTTATTATTTAAATGCATTACTGATTTAATATATAGAAATTTTTTTAAATATAATCAATACTATATTATATATATACATGTGGTGAAACGCTACTGCAATTTGTGTAAATTTAAAATCTGATTTTCTTGGGTTGTGTGTATTATATAAAGTTACTTTTTTTTTTGTAAAAACTACTGATTAATTTATAATCTTTTCAATTTAAAAGAGTAAAATATATAAAACTGATATTTTAATGAAGGACATTTGATAGAAATAAGACTATTTGTCATATTACATATATTTTCATACAGCAAGGACAGATAGGTTTTTTGCGAAATATGCCTATTCCAAATATTTTATATGTATATTAGCCAATAGATTAAACAACCTGTAATACTTAGAGACGTAATGAGCAGTATCGAATTTATAAATGCAACGATAATTCGCGACATTAACTTTCATTTTGTGGTATAGTTTTTTTCTAGCTTGTATCCCGCCCGCCTCGTTACAAACCGGATTTTGATAATATTCGAAAATAATCTAGATAGAATTTTCTACTAATATAAATATAATAGAATTAATTTTTTTATCTATTATAATAATAATATCGGTACATGAAAATCACAAAAAGAAAATTTTGTATTTTTGACTCTTTTGTTTCTCTCATTGTTTATAACGATTGGAGGCCAGTACGTATACAATATATATTTATATAATACGCTCACAAATTTCCAATATATGGTATAATCACAGCGCAAACACACAATCACTAAAAATTAACTTTACCGTACGTTTATTTCCTCCCCTTGTATATTCAAAGTATATGCATGTACTATATATCTAAATATATGTCATTATGTACAATCATCGCGCTCATTTCAGCCATATACATTATGTTTATGTAATTTAATACATATATACACACTCAAACAATGTATATACGCCATCTATACATACGTCGTTTTGAGAGACACGTATACTACATCGACATCCACAGGCTTCAGTCTTAAATTTCCTTACAATGCAAGCTTCGTCTGTACTAGTAAGGCTTTGGCCTTCGTCACAAGGCGTGAATATTTGATTGCCGAAATCTGTGACACTGTTGGTATCGGTTCCTCTATAACAGACAATCGTTTCTCGCGATCTGTAGATACCACTGAAGTGTGAAAAAATACATTTCTTAAATTGGCCACATTGATGCGCTCCCGCGAAGTTTCATCTACAGGGCTCCTCGACATCAACTCGCCATTCAAATTCCTAACACACAAACACAATAATTTATTAATAAACAAACGCAATAATTTAACGAGTTTAACTTAGTTTCATGATTCGTACTTAGACTTTTGGAGATTCCGTTTCTGGTTCTGATCTTTGTTTCGTTTACGGCTTCCCGGTGAACGATTATTCATTCCGCAGCTTTCCAACTGCCACCCCACCACCCTCTCTGATCGCTTCGATTACACTGACGTGATCATCGAATCGTACTCGTTCAACCACCGTCCTCCCCGCACATAGTCCAGTTTACTTGAGTCGCTACATTGACGATCAAATGTGAGTTTACGACGATTCGTTTTTTGCTAAACCAGGTGCCACTTCTTCTAATGAACCTTAAAGAAGTTGCCTGTCCAGCAGATGAGTCATGTGACCGCCATTAGTAGAGCTGGCTGCTTGTTCTCCTTTGTACTTCTGCCACCACTGATCGAACTACCAATCAATCTATTATACATATAAAGAGAATCGTTAATTATTAAAATTTAATTAATGTCAATTCAATTAATCAAATTTATTATTTACATAACACAAAAAAAATAAAAAATGTATTCAACATATGAAGATGAAATATTTAATTAAACCTAAAAGTTGAGAATGAGCAGCCAATGCTCTTGTGAGGCCGCACCATCGTTCTAAAGCAATGGAAGCGTTTACGGATTTTTCTGACAAAATAGTAGCCGCGGAAGCTGTCTCGCTACACACGAACTGAAGCGTTGCGTGGACGTACGTCAGCCTGGACCTCCAGCCTGTGTACTGTAAGATATAGCTGTGCGTGATATATCACAGAAAAATGACTATTTTTCAATCCACGCACGAAAGACTAATAATGTACCTTTGACTCCGGGAAGTACGCTGGAAGCTATACTTCCCGCAAGACTAGTGCCAGCAAGGGCCACGTTGCTGGCGCGTTTCGCATCATTTTCCCGACCCAATTTCTCCAACTGACTGCCACTACCCAACGAAAGCGAGGCCTCCCTATTGAAGGATTGCCGCCCCGGGACTCGCGACGTCTATCGATGCCGCGTCCTGCAACATCACAGTGATTTGATAAATGGATTCGATCGTAGAAAAATTGCCTCGATGCGAGTGGTACGAATAGTCATGAGTTCGACTCGCCGTGGCGAAAGAAGGATTTATTCGACGACACGTGCGTGCACGAATGTTGGCGTGTTTACCTATGTTGCGCACGCCTAGAGCCCCCATCACTCGGTTTCCGTCATCAAATCGACAACGAACCTCCGGTACCACTCGTGGAGACACCGCAACCTCCGCTTCGGCAGAGAGACCACCGTCACCACTCCCATAGACGTAAAGACAATAAGATTGGTACGGCCGATACCACGGCTAATCCTGCCATACTGGTTGACACTAGAACCTGCGGATAAATTAAATTATTATTATTATAAGTGTCTCTCCTTGGTTGTGAAAACTTTTATCTCTCATACGCGTCACTTGTCATGACAAAAAAAAATTTATGATCAAAGTGTAGTCTATAATAGAAGAGATATATTGTTAGTTGTCTTAAGGCTTCCCTTCTTTTGTGCTGTTGTAAATAAATGACCGACACCTGTCAAGTAATATAAATAGAAGTCAGTTAGATACTCGAAGGCCATATACATGTAGTTTTACGACGATAGAAAATAAAGAAATGCGAGAACGGATAAAAATTTAATATTGCTTGATAAACTATGAATCGTATTCTTGACAAAAATATATGATCGATTTAAATAGGTCATTCAAACATATACCCGGTCTTATCTGGTTTTAATCGACGATAACTAATCTTATCGTTATCTAGATGTAACACTTCATATCTAACTTCGCATTCCTTATGTTTTTCAGAATTTTATTTATCAGATCTAGATGCGCAGAGACTAAAAGAACGAAAATAGTCATTGTGTATCACGTTGCATTTGCGTGGATTATACTTTCCCTCTTGTCATGTCCCCTCTCTTAAAATTTGATAGAAATAGAACAATAGGTTGTCAGCTCGCGCAGTCATCACATAGAGGGATATAGCGGGAATTTGGCAAAGGCGCGCCGATTTTCAGATCTCTGACAGATTCCGGAACGGAGCGACGCCAGATCGTAGACGAGAGTACGCGGGGCGGAAAGGAGATCCGGGAGGGGCAGAAGGAAGAGGATATGATCCCGGAGTAGGCATGCGCTACGACCGTCATCTCTCTCTTGTTCCACCCTGGCAGCGGCGGTGGCCGAGGTAAGTGACATGGAACATGCGTCGCGTCGGCCGTAAATATCTTCAGAGGTCCACGTCGCGCGTCGCCCGCTGCAATTAAGGTTAACTCGCTCCCGTGAGCATATGGGGTCGAGGAAGCGCCCCCTCCTTAGGCGTGTCGAGTCCGAAGCAGGCCGCCGCACTCCTCTTCTCATGCCGGGTCGTCGAACTATGCTGATCCCTTCGCGAACGGCGCAGGATCGGCGACGGCCGACGTAACCGGAAGAGGCGCGACACTAACGAGGAGGTTTTCATTCAGCGACTGTGATTTCACGGTGTGGCAGACACCGTATAGTATACGTACGCGTTTATATCGTGTACTTATTGTAATTGAGTAGATGTGTTTATAATATATAGTCCGCCGCACATCGGTGGGCATCGTCTTAGCAGCGCACATGCCTTTTAACGCTGGCGAGAGG